GCCCCACCAGAGGCTGAGGATGGAGCTCAGAGGTCGGGCTAGAGATATCAATGGAGGATACGGTGGTAGGAGGCACTCACGAGAAGAGAGTGGCTCCCACCGCAGGCTTCCTGTCTCCTTCCTCTGCTCTGCTCCCTTTTTAATGGTTTCCCGCCAAGGGTGTCCTCAGTTTCTGAGAGGGGATGTGCACGGGCAGGTGTGTGTGTGTGTGTGTGTTAAACACCTGAATTATCAACTGATCCTGGCACCATGACAACTGGGCCGCTGAGCAACCAGGCTCCATGGCAACCAGGCCTCTGAGCAACCCGGAGCCATGGCGATTGGGCCTTTTAGCAACCTGGCGCCACGGCGACCTGGCCAAGGAGGAACCGGGTCTTCGAGACCCCAGGGAAGCAAGGGGCGGGGCTGGGCAGCTCGTTATCATTACTGTTTTATAGAAAATGAGGAGCTGAAAATTCTCTGGGCGCAGATGAAGACGGCACGAGTCTCTTCTATTTGGGAGCCTTATTCGGGTCTGGCTGGGGGCTTGGCCAACGTGGGGGGCAGAGGGTCCTGGCTCCGGTGGGGAGGGAAGTTTGGCTGGAGTGGGTGCGGGGCAAGAGGTCTGGCTGGGTGGGGGGGTTGGTCAGAATTGGGGGAGGGAACTGGCTGGGGGGGCTTGGCTGTAGGGTGGGGAGCGGCCTGGCTGGAGGGCGGCTGGAGTGGGGGAATGGGGGCTTGGCAGCAGTGTGGTGGGGGCCAGGGACCCAGATGGGGGGGCTTGCCCAGAGGGAAGCGGATCAGGTGACCAGCTTGGGGGAGCTTGGCTGGAGGTGGGTGCCTAAGAGGGCGAGATCTATGGGGCGGGGAGTGGGAGAAGTTGAGTCGGGGTCACTGTTGTGAGGCAGATTCACAATTAGCCGTTCCACACCCAGACGTGGGTGGAATCGGGGGCGGTCATTTAGGGGACCCCGTAGCCAGAGTCCGAGTCCGGGGAGGGCGAGTCATCAGGGCGGCTGCTTTGCAAAAGGCCATGTGCCCTGGGGTAAGTCCGGAGAAACTGAGTCACAGGAGGAGAAATCAGGCTGCGTTTCCCCCCGGGCTCTGAAGCATTTTTGCAGCAGGTCAGTGGTAGTGTTAACTCTCCGCCAAGGAATCCCCGGCGTGTTCCTTACAGAAAGGGACAATTGGGCGGAAAAATTCATTTTTCTTATTTTAATGTTATGCTTTGAATGTTGTGCAATAGCGAACGGTGTTAGCGAAATCCTCTGAACCAATTTGAGTCATGAACTCGTCTCTTCGTTCAGTGTGATGATGGGGAAAGAGTTGTCGAGATTTCGCTGGTCTCAGTTTTGTATTTTATTAGTAACAAGGCTTTTTGAATCTATCTACTTAACCTGTGCGGTGGGTTAATTAATTAACTGACTAGCAAACAGATTTCACCAGAGGATGTGGAAGCATCTGTCTGGATTCCGGCTGGAGATTTCTACAAGCAAAAGGAGGGAAGATCTTGTTACCTCGCTTTGGACTCAGCCGAGTCCATAGATTTTTGGTGAGCAAAGATGGGGACTCAGGTGAACTCCACCTAAACTTTTGGGAACCCTGAGTTTCTTCTCACTGTTTCTGTGAGGACTGACTTGTCTAGATTCAATTTGTTTTCTTTATTTACATTCATGTAGAACAGTGATGATAATGTAGGTGAATTATACAGTGGCCACGTTCTGTTGTAGAAATTAAGTTATTACTATGTTTCTTTCTCATTACAAGACTTTATGAAGTTGGTACTTAAGAATTAAGTTCCTTCCCTTTGTTCTTTGTCTGGATTTGAATGCGGGGAGGCCGCCCCTGTGTGATCCTTGCTGAAAACCCTCAGTGACTGAATTCTAGGTCCCCAGGTGCTTTTCCATGGGAGGCGTTTTTAGGGACTAGGAGAAGGGCAGCGTAAACTCCAACCCAGTCGTAACCTATGGCCCGCAGACCCCTGGGGGTCCGCAGACTTTGTCTAAGGTTTCCACAGGGGTCTGCACTTCCATTTGGAACTTTTTAGGGGTCTGCAAATGAAAAAAAGGTTGAAACCCCACCGATCTATCCCACCCAAAGGTCACAAAATCTAGTGACAGGTTTCAGAGTAGCAGCCGTGTTAGTCTGTATCAGCAAAAAGAACGAGGAGTCCTTGTGGCACCTCAGAGACTAACAAATTTATTTGAGCATAACCCACGAAAGTTTATATAAATTTGTTAGTCTCTAATGTGCCACAAGTACTCCTCGTTCTTTTAAAATCTAGGGAGTGATTTGGGCAGAGAGCAGCAGAGGGCGCCAGAGACCTTCCTCTTCCAGCACCACCGGGGGGGCGCTGTGGGCCTCATTTTAGTGGAAATCCAGGCTTTTACGGTTCTCCAATTTTCACCAGAATCAACAGGGTCCTGCCCCTCCATGCCCAGAACGTTCCCTGGGATTTGGGAATGGATGGGAGGCAGTTTTCAAAAGTTATCATGTTGCAGACAGAGAGAGAAAGGCCATCCGGTTGGTCAGAGCTTCCCTTGGCCAGCTCCCTGGCTCTAACCACTAGACCCCCCTCTCTTCCCCTCCTAAAGCTGGGGATAGAACCCTGGAGTCCTGGTTTCAGGCCCCCCCAGATAACAGGGAAGGCTGCCCCATTAAGACCAGCCAGCTCTGTTCACTAACCAGACACAGCTGAGAAGGGGACAGGCACTCCCCATAAAATACCGCCAGAAAGCAGGGTCTCATTGTTACAGCCTGCTGGTTTCTCTCAGGCTGTGGGGTGGGAGTTTGACTGGGCCCAGAGACTTTGCTGGTGGGCAATGCCCCTGGCCTAAGGCTGCTATTGTTCCAAATGCTTCTTCTCTGAGCCCTCGTTAAAAGTGACATGCTTATTCTATTAATTGGGGGGGAGCTGGTTTCTTCCTTGCTTGGATTGACAGCTCCTACCAAACTGTGATTCCCAAACCCCACCAGTACTTAGCGATAACTCGCTGGCTCTGCATCAGAGACCAGCAACATCCCAAAGAATCTGCATTTTTAAGTAGTTTGTAGATCTCGTTTGACCTCTGCAAACAGCAGAGAAGCAGGATGAATTTCTGAAGGACGTAAGACAGCTCATGACTCAATATTCAGGCTATTGGGATCAGTAGGAAAGATTGTGTCTTTCATTTGTTAACCTTTTCCCTTTGTAAAGCCTATAATCTCGTCGTTAGTACAATCAGCAATTCATCAGAAAATGAGTAGCAAAAAATCCACCCCACTTTCTGTTATTGGAGCAGTAGGGGTTGTCTTGCCTTTGTCAAAGTTTGGTAACACTTTACAGAAATCTCTCCATCTCCATGCATGCCTGCCTATCTATCCATCCGCTCCCATATATACCCATCTATCCATCCCCACACATATGCATACAATTTGTCTATTCTGGAATAACCCCATAGGCGGATGCTTTCTGGAATAAGAGTGCCCTGTTCCAGTTTGAAAAATGGACGAGTTAAACAGAAACAAAGACTTATGCCAGACTAAGTATCCCCAGACAGAGTTATTTTACTTTAAATTCACACCCTATGTTGGTCTGGAATAATTTTCATGGAGCAAAGAGACAGCCTAATCTAGTCTCAGGTACCCAGCTATTCCCAGTTCCTTCTATTTCTAGGGACCTGGGGACTAGAACCCACATCTACAGAGCTTGAGGGAGGCTGATAGTCCCACACTGCCATCAGGAGCCCCTATGATAGTATAGCTAGGGAGCATGTGCAGAGCAGGCACTGCAGGAAGTACTGCCCACAAGACCCAGAGTGACAGGACCCTGCAGCCCTCTGATTGGCCAAGTGCCCCTACTTAACCCCAGGAGTAAGCCCAGGAAGTTGTTTGAGCAACCACACGGCTCATGGCCTGCTGGACTTCACCTCATCTCCTGACCTTTGGTCTCTAACTCCAGCCTGACTTGACCCTAGTTCTTCCCCCTGGATTCTAACCTGGTAGCCGGCCTCACCCTGACTCTTGTTTATGGGACCTGGCCTTGCAATTCTTCCCCCTCTGCCCTGGTGACTCCTGTCCATGGTGGGGAGACCTCAGCCCAGCTGTGAACACTAGGCCAGACTGACTACGCCCTGGTCACTTACACCATCCTTATACATTCTCATGTTTCTATGCTCAGCTGTGTCTGTCACACTCTCTTTGTATCTTTATATATCTAACTTTCTCTCTCTCTTAATTTGTCCCTCTCTCCGTACGTATCTAATCTCTCACTCTCTTTTCATATCTGTCTATCACAGTGTCTCCACACCAATCTATCTGATCACTGTTGTTCTCTTCCGGTCTATCTATATCAGGCTTTCATTCTCTCTCCTTTATTGCACCCTCCATATTATTCATTTATTCTTCTTGGTGTCTTCATACCTACATCTCACATTCTCTTCATATCGATCTATATCCTCATCTCTGTAGGATCAATCCATCCTTTTCACTTACTCTCTTTCAGATTTCACTATTCCGCCTAGTATAGGTTTGTTTTGTTTCTTTTAAGTAAAGGTTTTTATTCTTTTAATTGTACATGCAAAGTAGCTGGAACAGCACGAAAGAGCAAATGGAACATGCGTGTGGAGCCGTGGATTGCATGGAAACTAGGTATGTACCACAATCACCATATGTCGCTTGGTCAATACATAGTTACTATGCTCAGAATGGAAGAGTGTGTGTTGGATTTTGATGTACGACTGGCCATTGCTTCTATGGCAATGAATTTTGTCATGTACAGGCATCCGATGACTAGCCCTTGGGAATAATGTGTATATGTTTTTGTAATATGCATTTGGAGCTGTTACAGCACCTCCTGAAATCAATAGATGTCTTGGCATTTGCTTCACTAGGTCAGGTTTTCCAAACCTTCTATCACTTTTATTGCTCTCCTCTGGACTCTGTCCAATTTATCCACATCTTTCTTAAAATGCAGCACCCAGAACTGGACACAGGACTCCAGCTGAGACCTCATCAGTGCCAAGCAGGGCAATTACCTCCCGTGTCTTACATTGGACACTCCTGTTAATACACCCCAGAATATTAGCCTTTTTTTTTGCACATACATCACATTGTTGGCTCGTATTCAATGTGTGATCCACTATAACGCCCAGATCCTTTTCTGAAATACTTCCCCCTAGCCAGGCATTCCCCGTTTTGTATTTGTGCTGGATTCTGTTTATGCCATTTCTAAATTTTGAGCCACTAGGGGTCTCATTCCCATGGCTCGCTCAACTACCGTAAGAGCTAGAAACTTACTTTGTACTTTAAAGGGAAGTTGAAATTCTCAGCTAGCCGATAAATGGCAGGCGGCCTTGAGGAAAACTCCTTATATTGTGACAGTTGTGATTAAATCGCAAGAGTTGGCAACATTGAAATTTGTCTGGTTGGAGACAGAGGACTCAGTGTTTGGTGGACGTAGTTTTCTAAAGCTAAGTGTTTTTTAAGTACGTTGCCTAATTTTCTGATAGATCATCATTTGGCAAATGAAGATTGGGATTGTAACAAGAACTATGATCACCTTATTCCTGGCTACCCAGGCCAACCATCCCGGCACTTTGACCACATACTGAACGAGCCCCGTGTTGTCGGGAAAAACGTTGATTTCATTCTCCCCTCTTCCAGAGAGAAAGACCATCCTCATTCCCACGGTGCTGATCACCAGCCGGGCGTTGTTCTGCAGGCACACCGGCTCCTTGGGGAATCTCTCCAGGGTGAGTTCAAAGCATCGTCTCAGCACCTCAGTCATCTTCTCTCCAGCCTCCAGTCGGTTCTGCACCTTCAGCAGGTTCTCGACACTCAGCCGTTCCGGGTGGGAGTGCAGCCGGGATAGATACATGTCCATTGTTGGCTCTTTCACGTCATACCGGGGTTCCCCGTTGAGGTAATATATGTAGATCTCATGTTTCCCATCTCCGGATTTAAATTCCAACACCCTTCCTCTGCACTGGATCAGCATCTGGGCATTGTCCTGTATGCTTGGAGGTTCTCTCATGAATTCCTGCAGGGCGAGGTCCATGCAGGTTCTCAGATTGTCAGTCATTTTCCCCTGGGCTTCTAGTCTACCCTGCACTCTTAGGAGGTCGACGACACTTAAGAGGTCTGGTTCTCCAGCTTCATAATTCACTGTCCCATGAGGAAAGAAAAATACCGCGAGCCCTATCGCTACAAGCAGCAGTAACAGCACCAGTTTCTGATGTGTTTGGCTCAATAGCAATCTCCAGACCCTCTTGACCACATCCTTCAAACCCCTGGTGAAGGACAAGAATATCGGCCAAATCCGAGTTCGGACGCAGAGCACCAGGATGTACCATGTTCCCCGCAGGAAGTGGAAGACCAGCCTCACGCAGCTCCTCAGCCCCACGTTCATTCTGGTTTCTCACCGGAGGTCCCGGTTCCTGGACCTCGCAGCCCAGCTCACGCTCGGGTGCAATTCCTTAGCTCGGGACCTGAAGACAACGCAAGGGACAACGGTCTCAGTTTGAGGGCAGTGGGGTTGATGAATGTCGCAAAACTTGGACCCGGTGAGTGAAGCGTGATTTGTAATCGTAGGTGCCTGCTAGAAGGTGGGGCTCTTCCATATAGGGAATCCCCACCACATATTGGCACAGTGTGTGGGGGAAGCCCAGGGCTGGGACAACAGGGGCCCGTGGGTCAGGAGTGAGGAGCACTGGCAGAGCTGTGTGTGGGGGGAGCCCAGGGCTGGGCTAGCAGGGGCTGCGGGTCGGGAGTGAGGGGCACTAGTAGAGCTGGGGGGAGCCCAGGGCTGGGCTAGCAGGGGCTGTGGGTCGGGTTTGAGAGGCACCGGCACAGCTGTGTGTGGGACTATCCAAGATTTGAGTCCCTGCCTGGCTGGCTAAGCCTGGGATGATCCTTCTGCGCCTCCTCTGCACTCAACTGAAGCCATCTCGTTAGCTTGGGACACCCGCCAACTTCACCCCAGGGGTTCTCATGGCCACCATGCGTGCCTAGCTGCTGATGTTCCCGGTGCCCAAATCCCCCTCACCACAGCCCGTCTGAGCCTCCCACCTGTAATTCCAGTTCCTGGAGCCGCCTGCTGGGTGTGCGTGAGGAATGGTCTGTCTCAGCTGGACGCAGGGTCCCAACGAAGGGGCCGTGTCCCTCCATCCCCAAGTGCTCTTTCTTCCTGGGACTGGTGTTTCCAGCTGGAACATAAGGGAACAAGGTTCTGAGAAGGGCCCTGAATTTAGACACCTCCTTCTTTGATCCCCCTGAGTTACTAAACAGGCCTCTCTCTTGAACTCTGACTCCTAAGGGCCTTCAAAGAGCTAGCCCGGGGCCTGCGCCCAATGTAGGGTTGCCAGTTTTGGTTGGACGTATTCCTGGAGGTTTCATCCTGTGACATCTTTCATTAAAAATTAATCTTCAATTTCTAGAGACTCTAGGACAATGCAGAGGGTTGGCAACACTACAGGCAGCCAGACCGGGCCAAGGGCCCAATGGGCGGCCAGAACAGGCCTGGGGTCTTAATTTAACTCTTCCTACAGCTGGTACAGCCCTTCAACCAGACTGTTACCACCTGCACATCTCCTCAAACTAAGTGTAAGGTTCACGGAGAAGCAAAGACATTTGCCTGCAATAGGAACTCCCTGCTCCTGGTCCCTCCCTCCAGCTGAGGCCTGTTTGTGGCGACAACGCGGGAAGAGGGGCAGAAACGCATTGAACTTTCAGAGCTGTCTTGAGAGGTGATGCTGAACGTGGCTCTGCCCCGAGACCCCCTGAGCGGTGGGACAGGACGGCAAAATGACTCCTCTCGCCCAAAGACTTTGTATTCCCGGCTCCCCCGGGGCTCAGAGTGCAAGGGGTAATTCAGGCCACAGAACAAGCTTGCCTGCTCCCGAGGGGACCCGGGGAGGAAGGGACACAGGGACCATGGCAGAGCTGAGATGGGACAGCTGGGGCAGATACAATGAGGAAAGGAAGAGGAATGTGACCTACCTGCCAGGTTTGGGGAAGCGTCTGGGGGGGAATTGTCCCAGCTTCTGTCCCCTGCCTCACAACAACCGACACTTTCACTTTCTCTCCAAATGTCAAGCTCTCAGACCCTTATTTTTAGCTCTGAATAACACAGGTGCTGACTTCAGTTACCGTAATGGGAGCTGGGGGTTCCCTGAGCCAAACGGGCTGGGTGCCTGGCTCAAAGCTACCTGTGGGAGGGAGATGAGACGTGAGAGGGAGTGTGTGTTGGGTCTTTAACACACACACAGTACACACACACACAGACAGCCAAGTACTCAAAAACCACACAGACCAACTTGCCTGCATGCAGCAGACACAGATCAACACATGCCGCTCACTCACAAAACCAACACAAATCAACATCCCCATGCACCTACACAAAATTTCCACACAGACACAACAAAAACATATACAAAATGCACACAGATGACACATCTACACAACCACATATACAACAGACACAGATCAATACATGTACGCAGATCAACTATGCAACATACACATACATACACACTGCAGAGATGTACTCAGAACTCACGTGGTTCAACACACACTCACACAAACCCACCTCTCAGTTTTCATTTAAAACACTTCATCTCTGGCCTTCGTGGTGATGAAGAAAAATTCAAATTTGTATCACTGAGGCTGTGACATCTGTCTGAATCTGCAGGCAGCCTTCAGTAACACCTCTGAAGGCTGTGAGCTACCCTGATTCACTTCAGGAGGATGTTAACTCTGAAACCTAATGGTGACTATTTATATGGTTTGATGGTTAACTATTTTGTTGTTGGTCCAAGCAGTCAAGGAGAAAGGGGGATTAGCCTATTATAAAAACTGCACAAGCTTTTGTGAGAGACTTCAGGGTGGAGCTTGGGTGGTGGGCGGAGTTTAAATTGTGGACGGAGTTCTGTTATCGTTGGGGACAGTTACAGGTGATATCCAGTGGCCAGGTGGCTTTGATGAAGCAAAATACTATTTATTTAGGACAAGAGCATTGCAAAGAAAACTGATCTTAACACCAGGAACTGCTTCTTCGTGTGCCTAGCTTACCAGGGCTCCTGAGTGATCTAAAATCACTCAGGACATAGACTCATAGAAGATTAGGATTGGAAGAGACCTCAGGTCCTCCCATAAGACCTAGTTCTGGTAGTCACGGTCTCACGCCTATCAGTTCTCTGGTGAGATCTTTCTCTCCCTGTCATTTTTAGATATGTTTTCACATCCTCTGTCCTCTTAAACTTTTTGAACCAGGTCACACCAGCCTGGATTGTTTTCCCCAAAGGGATGAAACTTCAAAACCCTTCTCTGCATTGCTTTGGCATTCAGAACCCTTTGACATTACAGGAAGCCTAGAGCCATGAAGACAGCCGGTAACAAACCCAGCAAGATACACTAAACATTTTATAAAGCTGACACGGCAGTCTTTGAATGCGTCCTGATTCCATAGCGTCTGTCCCAGCTCCGTAAATAGCTGTTGAATATTCGATAGCCCTGCAATGATACAGCAACTGGAAAACCATTCAACCAGAATTCCTAAGTTTGACACATTTCATTATCTCTTCATTTATCAGCTCTCCACTTGTGTAGCTGTGTCTTCACACCTGTCTATGGATGTATTGTGACGTTGCACTCCACATGCTTTATGAAAATATGCTTATGAATATGGACATGACATAACTGGAATATGCTTTAGGCAAAAGGTCTCATGTGAGGTATCATTCGAAAAGTTGTAATCTACTGAATGTGATTTTCCCATTTTGTATGTATGTATCATTCCTATATTAGAAGTTAGGAATATGAAGGATAAATTTGAGGGCCATTAATGGTGCTTTAGGAACTTGATGGCTCCCTTTTACCAGAACAATTGGCTGTGAATGGTTTTGTTTACCTGCAAGCCTTCCTGTGTACGTGTGGGTCAGCCCATAAAGAATGGAGACTGGGGTCTTACAGAAACATGTGACCATGTCACCTGATACTGGACTCCATCTTGAAGCTGGTATTTTTCCACAGGGAAGTGGGGAATCTAGGGTTACCATACGTCCGGATTTCCCCCACATCCGGATTTTTGGTCTTTAAATAGCCGTCTGGGGGGAATTTGTAAACATCTAAAAATGTCTGGGATTTCCCCCCGGACGGCTATTTAAAGACCAAAAAGCGGCTGACAGCGGGGCCGGGCCGGACTGAGCCGCTCGGATTGGGGCCTCTCCGGCAGCCAAAGCCCCTCCCTGGCTCCCCTCTCCCCTGCAGCCTCAGATCGCCGCGCCAGCAGCGCTGGGGGGGGGGGGCTGCGCGCTCCGTGAGGGGGTGGGGCTGGCAGGGGCAGCCAAAACCCCTCCCCCACTTCCCACTTCCCCTGCAACTTTAGATCGCCTTGCCGGCAGCGCCGGGCGGAGCTGGGCGCTCAGCCAGACATCCTGCTCTAAGCTGAAGGTACATGGGGAAGTCAACTGCAACCTTGGAAAGGTGGGGTAAATCACGCCCTTTCCCCCTCCCCTTGGAGCAAGAGGGGAGTGCATGCATGTGGGGGAATTGTGATTCTCTGACTCACACTTTCTCCCTGGGATGTTCCTGGGATGGTGCAGCCTTTTAATGCAAAGACCCTTATTCACAGCTGTGCCTAAGGGCACAATCTATCTCTAATGAACAAGTGCTGTGATAAATGCAAAACACCAACCTAGACTTTGCGTTACAAACAAATGAACTCTAGCATGAAGGAGCTGAAGGGGCACTGTGATTGGCGCATATAAGAGCACAGATCGTGCAGTTTTGCCACTAATCACAATTTAATTGCCAGTCTTGCTATGTTTGGTGTTTTTCTCAAAGTCCCAGCTTCTGAAGTTATGGGATTATGTGACAACCTCAGCCTTTTTTTTTTTTTAAAGGCAAGTTTTTAGCTTTCATAGTTGTGGGGGGAGTTGGAGAAGGGGCATGGGATCCCGGGGGGCGGTCAGGGAACAGGGAGCGGAGGGGGGTTGGATGGGTCAAGGCAGGGATGGGGGAGTTAGATGGGTCAGGGGTTCTGGGGGGGCTGTCGGCGGGCAGGGGTGTGGAGAGGGATTGGGACAGTCAAGGGACAGGGAGTGGGGGGGTTAGATGGGTTGGGGGTTCTGTGGGGGGCAGTCAGGAGGCGGGAAGTGGGAGGGAGTGGCTAGGGGGCAGGGCTACCCCCCCCCCCCGCCATGGAGTGTCCTCTTTTTTGAAAGTTCAAATATGGTAACCCTAGGGAATCAAACAAAGGTTTCTCGCCTTAGGGAATTTCTATATAAGGCAGGGGAAGCAAAGAATGAGGGTCTTCAGCTGGCTTAAGAGACAGCCTCCCCACCCCAAAGAGATACCCGAAAGCACCTGGAAACAAAAGGACTGTAACTACAGGGGTGGGTGAGAACAGGCTGGACCCAGGTCAGAAAAGGCAACTGACCTGAGAAAGACTTTACCTGACATAACATCTAGGGTGAGGAATGATCATTTATAACCAGTTTCTTAGTGTATTAAGCTTAGCCTTGTGTGTTTGTTTTATTTTGCTGAGTAACTTACTTTGTTCTGTCTGTTATCTCTTATGACCACTTAAATCCTACCTTGTATACTTAATAAAATCACTTGTATTTATTCATAAACCGAGTGTAAGTAACTGTTATTTAGGGGCAAACAGTTTGTGCATCTCTCTCTTTCTTTGATAAAGAGGACGAACAATATGAACTTGTACTGTATACAATTTTATACGGTGTAAGGTGGATTTTTATTCTGGGGTTTAGACCCCACTGGGGCTGGGTATCTGAGTGCTGCAGACAGGTATTTTGCTGAGCTGTTTTCAGTTTAGATCTGCAGCTTTGGGGGGGTGGCCCGGGCCTTGGGTCTGTGTTGCAGCAGGCTGGCGTGTCTGGCTCAACAAGACAGGGTACCGGGGGCCGAGGCTGGCAGGGAAAACGGGCTCAGGGGTCATTTCAGCACATCAGGTGACAGAACCCGTCACATGTATATATCACATTTTCTGGAAGAGCTAAATTATACTGGAATAGCCATGCCAGAGCAGCGATGGGGGTTCGTTTCTCCCATATAGACCAGCCCTAAGCCAAGGGAACTGCGGTTTTGGCGTCTGGGTAGCCAGGAAGGT